CACACACTCACTGAGCTACAGACAGCAGAGCACACACACTCACTGAGCTACAGACCACAGACCACACACACTCACTGAGCTACAGACAGCAGAGCACACACACACACACACCGCTCCAGTTTCAGTGAGTCCTCAGGGCCAACAGGCAGACAAACAGGCCACAGTTCACATACTTAAAAACAACACATTTTGAACAGACAACCGGCTGAACAGACTGTTCTCTTCTACCCATCTCCACCCTGGAAGCAGGTGACCATGGTAACGCCTGGAGGTTCGCAGCATGCGTGGCAGCTTTGGCACTAACCACCTTCATGCTCATCATATCTGCCATCAAGGGACCTTCATGGTACAAACACTTTCACAACTACAGACACCGGCGGCTGCAGCAGGAGGAGCAGACGCAGTGGGAGGACACCCTGTCCACCGTCTTCTCAGAGGGCGGAGGCCCCCCCACCCATCACACAGTCACATTTAAGGCCCAGCACGGGCAGACGCAGGAACAGGAGCAGGAAGACGGCTACTTTGAAGATCCATACATCAAAAGGGAAGGAGATTATGTAGCACAGCACATTTAAGAAGAAAACTTCTGAACCGATGAGAGGGAGAGGGAGCTACTGGATCCTAAACCTGTCACCCAGACTCTCTTAGCACGTCACACAGGAGACGTCACAGTGCGTTACATGACAACCTGAGGCCAAACTTAATCATGAGGGCAGGTGCTATGCGAGTGACAGCGCTCCCAGGCTCACTGAACCTTGGCCCTGCTTCTGTAATGCTGCTTATCACACAACCTTAAGCAACTTCAAATGACTCTAAGGTGCTCTGTGGCTCCACATAGCTGAAAAACGCATGAGGTGCAAAGTCCAGCGTTCCATCTCCTGATCATGCTGCTGACGTCATGATTTTCTCACAGCAGGTGAAGCAGGCCGATTCCAGGCATGGCTCCAAATGAACTGGGTTTACTACCTCTGCACTTTGAAGTGAGATTCCACTTTTACTCAGATGACGGAACAAATCACTGTTTTGTGTTGGACAGAGTAGAATATAATAATAATGTGTCAGCTGTATTTACTTTAGCTAACAATTTGCTTTTTTAATTTGTTTGTAAATCAAATCTCATCATTTAATGACTCACTACATCAAGAAATACACTATCAACACTTAATCCCACCTTTTATGTCCTGAGAGGGAAATCTGACCTACAAATCAGTGTTCTTTCATCTTTTAATCTGTTAGACACAACAATCAGACATCATCATCACCCATCTAAGGATGTTCATTATGCTGTAAAATACATGTTAAATAATAAACGTAAGAAATAAACAATACATGTAAAATACAATGACACTGTATCAGGGAATGAAGACTTACTCTCTCCTCTCTGTAAAGATGCTGTCAATACTTTGTGCCTCACGGTCATTCTGAATTTTCAACTGGGAAAGACAAATAAATGAGGAGATTAAGTGTGGAATAACCGACTCAGCCCACATCAGATCACTTATTTCCAGGTAACCCTTACCATGTTGTAGTCATTAATCATTTCCTCCATCTCTGTGTTCGTGTTGAGCTTGTCCACCAACTGGAAGCCAGACGAGAATGTGTGTAAATGTGAGTGTAAGAACAGCAGAACTCATCAGTTTATTCAGCCTCTGACAAACATCCCTGAGATGTTTGTTTGACTCTAAACACACTGAGCAGCAGAGTGAGAAAACTGGGGATCGGGGGTTCAGTGGACAGCACTTTCTGGTGACTACCATTGCTAACATGCAGGTTTTATGTACCATGTTGTAGTCAGCAAGCTCGCCCTGCATGTCCTTAATCTCTGCAGCCAGACTCTCAGCTCTGCACACAAAACCATTCAAAGGGCTCTTATGACGCATTCATATGCAGTTTTAGGCCAAAACAATCATGACTTTTACTATTTTGTATCAACAGAATCAGAGACATCTAATAGACACCCACCTCTTCTCATAGGAGAGGTAGACGGAGTTCTCCTGATTGTAGCCCTCAATCTCAGCGTGCAGTTTGCTGGTCTCTGTGGTCAACTCATTTATCTTACTCCTGACAGAAAAACCACAACATTACCTGTCATATCGTTAAACAATCTGGAGGATCTGAAGATCCCCTGAAAGTTGATCTTCCTGAAAATTGTGTTTTCCCTTTAATCCCTTAATTAGCTGAGGCCTTTGGAAGTGAGCTGAACATGCTGCACTCTGACATGCATGAACAGGTGTGAGCGCCAGCAGCTCAAATAACTTAGAGGGCATTACCTGAGGAGGCCCAGGTAGTAGGACTTGTCCAGAATCTGTCTCTGGGGCCCTTCAGGGAGGCGGTGGGGACACACAGTGACAGACACATGTATTGACTGGCTCTGAGGTCCATGTTAGACATGAAGAAGAATCCAAACAGACTCCAGGAGGCTGCTGGTCCCTCTAATCGTACCTTTCATTCCCGTCTTCATTCCACTGAGCCCCTGTTGGGTGACAGGCCTGTCGGTCACTTTGATGGGGGCAGACAGAACTCCAGGGATGGGGACCCCCCCCCTCATTCCAGGATGACCACTGGTACCTGGAACCATCTGGATCAAAAATGAAAGAACACAACTGCTAAGCTCTAAGTTCCCATTGGTGGAGGATGTGAGAACAGAAGCTGTGCTAGCGCAGGAATACAACATTCATCATTATCAAAAACACTCCTTTAACTCAACGACCCCCAGCTGCAGGTGGCTCACCCCAGTTGGGACACGGATGGCTGTGGGTGGAGGCCGGACAGATGTGGGGGGTCTTCCACCCCCCGGGATCACAGACCCACTACGGCTGGCTGGCCTGCCAGTACTGGAGGGAGGCCGCTGGCTCGCCATGGTGCCTGAAACCAGTAAACACATCGTCACTCCAACGTCTGCAGCAACTCAGCAAGGCAGGATTCAAACTACTAACAACGTCTTCTCTGAAATCTGTGTGGAGACGCTACGTGTTCCTGTTCAGCCTTCAGCTGATGATGGGAGCTCTGGAACAGCAGAATAAAACCTCTTTGCTGTCCTGTTCAGTGCTGCATCCTTACCGTGCCGTCAAATCCCAAAGTTTGCATTTTGGCTGTAATATGTGGAGCGTCACACAGAAATAACCAGTTCATCTGTGCTGTACAGAGTACAGCCGGAAACAGGATGAGAGAAGAAGCCTGAGACCAACAGGTGACTGAGGATGGCTGTTAGGATGGAGTCCTCCCTCTGAGAGAAGAGGCCCGGTGTGTGACACTTTTAATCACCCCTGGTTAAATTCCTGGTTAAACTACTGTGCTGTACTTGACAGATTTCAGAATGAATTTTTCAGCCCAATGATATCCTTCACATAAGAATGAGGTTTTTATTGCACAGGTCACCATCCAGTCTGCGTCGTTGGCTAACTTTCTGGTTATCAATAACTCGTTACTAGTATCACAGTTAGAGGCGTCTGTTAAACATCTTTACCTTAAAACAGTGACGCTGGGATGATGAAACGGAAACAAATGCAGCCCTGATCAGGACAGCAAAAGGGCCTGCTCTGGTTCTTCTGCCCGACGCAGTTAGCTGAAGCTGGCAGGCTAAAACCGTGACGCCTAGCTTACTTTCCTCTGCTACTGCTGTCCGTCAACGGAGTTCGTTGCCAAAGTCATGAAAGCTTAGAGTTCCCTACCTGAAATATGACTTTGTCGTTTTTATATGCGGTTTAAAACTCAGACTGCGGTCGTATGTGAGCTTACGTGAGCAGAAGATGAAAATAACCAGCTGCTGCAAATGATTGTCCCGTTACCCAGCAACCGCGGTAGTTTTCTTCTTCTACTACTCTCCTGCTGCGTCTTCTTCTTCGTTAGTTATTTTAAGTACAGTCTGCTGCCTCCAACCGTCTGGAGAAGGAAAGGGCGCATGACTGTGTGTGATGAACTCATGCAAATAAACATTTCATTGAAAATACCTTTAAATTGCGCCACTCGGTGAAAAATAGTGTAAAATTGAAACAAACTAATACAATTTCTAAACAAATAGCTGTGAAAAAAAACGTTCTAAAAACTATAATAACAAAAAAACAGCAATAACATAATTTCCAGCATTTTTAAAAATCTTGTTTGTGAGCTTCAGGCCTAATATGAGCACTTTTTTTCCTCTCGTCAGTTTTTTTGGCAGGGCATGAAACAGTTATTCATCTGATCAGACCTGGTTGTCCTGATTCTGTTATTTGTTATTGTGAATGAAGAAATCTTGTCAGATGCAGTTTGAAATCTTCAGCATTTGCAGTGTAACTCTTCCTCGGGTTTTGGGTCAGTTTGGTCGGCAGTTCAGCCCAAATTCAGCCTCCACTTCACCTGCTCCAAACTCAGTAGCTGACTGCTCAGCTGCGTCTCAAAGACAGTACGCTCACAAACACAAGCATTCAGTTTAGGACTCCAGAGGAATTTAGCTTTCTCAGCATCTTCATTGTTTTAGAGTTGCTACCTCTGCAGATAGACCTTGTGTAGTTTAAATGAGTGATAGCTTCTTAATTATGGGCCATTTAAAGAATGTGTGCAGGAGAAATGTGCCATAATACACAGTCTTTATTTTCCCAGTGTTCTTTTAATTTCAAATCACTGGTATTAGGTAATGCTGTTATAGCATTTTCAAAGTCATTAAACACTCCTGATTAACTGGTTCTGGTTGCAGAAGGTGAACCAAGAGAAATATTGTAAACTCACAGTTATGCGTTTGCCTCGGACCACATACTTACCTGCTAATCTGTGGAAATCTGCTGCAGTGGCACCATACGAATAAGCACATTGTTGAAGACAAAAGTGACATGAAACTTAACAAAAAGTAGTTTTAGTCCAATTTATTCAATGTTTATTAATCACATCACTAATTAACAATCACAATAAACACTTTCCAACCACACAATTAAAGATAATGAAAACACACGCACAAAACAATGAAGAGGTTCAGCAAATTACAGAAAGTCTACACATCCCATAGCTGGTTTCAGCATGCTCTGCAGGTTTGGTAGGTGTTCACTAGCTAGTGTTAGACTCATATGTCTGGGAAAGGTGTGGGAGTGACAGATGGAGCTCTATCACTATGGAACATCATTTCTAAAGCCAGATGTGACAGAAACTTGGTCTTTGTCATCTCAAACCTAAATGCGTTAGGTCTGAAGCTGCTTCTCTTTGAGTAGCAATAGCAGCAAACATGTATTCTCTCCCATTTTACCCAGGGGACCTCAAAGGTATTCAGAAAGTTGACATTAAGTCCAATTCAATTCTAATTTACCACGTGCATCTGCAGAAGTGAGTGCCTGCTAAACAGGAGGCGAGTTCCACCTCCTGAGACTGGGCTTGTGGGCATCTGCTGAAAACACACGTGTACTAAAGCTTCTGTTCAAACGTCCCCAAAAATCTCTGAAATGGAAGCTCAACATTTCTAATTCATGCTGCTTTTACAGAGTTTGAACTCATATATTTTTTCACAAGATTTGAAAGGTTTCTAATGTGTTGGCTGGAGGGTTTTATACTGGGGGGTGTGGAGAATGCAGTAGGTATGAGGGGCTCAACTACATCCATGAAAGCACAACCACCACCAGGCTACAGGAACACACCGATAAATACATATACAAAAGAGCTGCATCTTCCATACCATTCACCTCAAAAGACATTCTTTCACTTTAGAGGCCCTTTTCATACAAAAAAGGCTAATATTTCTATTTGTCATTTTTATAATCAGAATACTATGATAACACAACTGTTCTCCATTAAATGTTAAAGGTATCTGGAAATATGATCTTGTTTTTAAGGGCATTAAAGAGGACATCAGCAAGTTATGGACAGGCACATAGAAGCAGTTAGCTAGAAAACAACCGCATGATCAAGCGAGTTTAGTATCAGATAAAAGATGAGAAACACTCACTCAAGAACATTCATTACAAGTTTTCACCCATTCATGTCAAGGGGAAAGATATAAAGAAAACACTAATATAATAGTACTTCATTCCCAGTGAATATAATGTGAACGAATGACTGCATCAGTTAAAATAAAAAGCAGGGGAAAGCTTATGTTTTCTGTCATCATGCAAAACCGTATTCAGACCATTTCCACCATGGACGAGTCTGCTGTTGACAACACAACACCATCCAAATCATCTCCTCCATGTTTCAGTTATTAAGGTGCGACTTAGTTATTGGCTTTTTACAGACCACGATTGCAGCAGCAATTTGAATCAAATATGTTTCTATAGTTTGATATGATTTCTAGGAGCCGTGTGATTTGTCATATTAGTCTGGGTAATAAAACAAACAAACAAACAAACAGGCCTTTGAAATTTGAAAGCCGTTTCAATGTTCTGTCAGTTGTTCACACATGGTATCAGATTAGACCAAAGTCCTGCTACAAATACTTCAATAAATAGCATCCATGCGCTTCTTATTTTGGTTTGACAGTTCAGAGCTGTTTTGGTTCTCAGTGTCATAGCTCTGTGAATCAAACTGCAGAAACAGCCAGCAGCTGAAAGCAGACAAGCTGCTGGAAGAGATGCATATTCTACTAGGAGCCCCTGGAAACAAAAGCAGGCTTAAAACGAGGGGGGGTATTGAACTGGTTGGGTGAACAGTTACACAAAGTCGAAAAACACTTCATATCATTAGCTAGAATCCTCAACATGGAAACGTGTTAATGTCTGAATCATGACGCTCAACAATGCCGTCTGATAACCGCCACTGTGACTCACCACAACCAGAACGTTAGTGATGATCATGAAGGAATCATTTGGACAACCACAAAGAAATTCCTCCTCCGATCCCAAAAAAGGAAAAGAAGACTCACTGCCTTTAAAGATGAGTTCATGTTCAGAGCACAGTCAGTAAGCAGAGAGCTGATCTGTGGGGTTCCTAAGCTGAACTTTTGCCCGCTTCCATTAAAATTCCACAGCATAAAGTTTATCTGTGAATGACACTCAGAATGCACACAGGCCTTCAGCGGTCAGGAGTGTGTGTGATGTGGCCATGCATGCTGCAGGGTTAGGAGGCTGACGCCAGGCCAGGCTGCCAGCCCCCCCACAGGAAGTCCCGGCCTGCTCCTGGAGCTGTTTCAGAATCAGCCCAGGCTCTGGTGAGCGGCCGGACAGACCACTGTCCACATCACAGACACACCTGACCTCCACAGCCTGACTGACCGCTGCTCTGTGGCCAGCTCTGATGTTTGACTGAGGTTTAGGCCTGACACTGACGGACTGGGGGCACGTATGGGACGCACAGCTCCCTCCACTTCAGAAACTCTGACACACATCCTCCTGCTCTCCTCCAGGACTCGATTAAAGCCTCGCCACTTCCTTTCTTCCATTTGAGGAAAACCTTCCAGTTTCTTTCTTTTTCAACTTCCACAAGCACTTTTTAATCCATCTGTCCGAACCCTGCTCCACATGCTATGTCCCTCTGAGTGTTACCTACCGAACCCTGCTGCTGACAGCCAGCCAAAAGCTTCAGCAGGAGGAGTAATACCGGATAGATTCTGTGATCCAGAGATATGAGAAAAATAGAACCGATGATGAAACAGGCCCCAGCAGCACAGCAGTGCAGATTTCTACAGGATTTTT